CGGGGCTGGCACAGCACCCCCTGCTCTGCAGGAACCGGGTCAGTGCTGCGGGGCTGAGCGAGGAGGCAAAGGGTGTTGAGGTTCATCGGGTGGTTTGGGTGGGAAGGGACCCTCAAAGGCCACCGGGTCCGACCCCCCTGCGGCGAGCAGGGACCTCTGCAAACTGGGTCGAGTTGCTCAGAGTCTCCATTCAACCTGACCTTGAATGTGTCCAGGGATGAGGCTTCTGCCACTTGTCGGGGTGACCTCTTAAACCCCAGGGTGAAAGGTTTCTTCCCAGTACCTCTCCCAGCAGACACCTCCCTGCCTCCTGCCTCCCAGCGTTGGGTGGTGGGTTCAGAGAGACCAGGTTTGCAGGGCAGTGTGTGACCTTCTTCCTCCTGGTGCCCCCCTGGCATGTCTGAGCAGCAGCACCTGCCTAGGGATCTTTGGCTTTGTAGTTAAAAAGAGAAAAAACAACCTCAGAATTTTTCTTTAGCCAGAAATGCTCAAAATCCAGCAGAAACTTGGACAGCACTAGTGGCTGAGACTAGAAAGCAAAGAGTGTGTGGGGGGCACATGGTCAAGACCTGGTTGGGATGGTTAAGATGCTGGGACAGTCCCTCGGTGGCTGCAGACTGTGCTCAGTGGGTGAGCCCTGGCAGTGGGAAGCACCAGTGTCCCCACCAGCCCTGCCCTGCAGTGTCCCCACCATCCCTGTCCTGCAGTGTGGCCACCATCCCTGCCCTGCAGTGTCCCCACCAGCCCTGTCCTGCAGTGTCCCCACCATCCCTGCCCTGCAGTGTCCCCACCATCCCTGTCCTGCAGTGTGGCCACCAGCCCTGCCCTGCAGTGTCCCCACCATCCCTGTCCTTCAGTGTCCCCACCATCCCTGTCCTTCAGTGTCCCCACCATGCCTGCCCTGCAGTGTGGCCACCAGCCCTGCCCTGCAGTGTCCCCACCATCCCTGCCCTGCAGTGTCCCCACCATCCCTGCCCTGCAGTGTCCCCACCATCCCTGTCCTTCAGTGTCCCCACCATGCCTGCCCTGCAGTGTGCCCCCCATCCCTGGGTGCCCTCCAGCACCTCCCAGGGGAAGGCAGACACCTGGGCGAGGCCGTGCCGGGAGGGTTTGGGAGGCTGGTGCTGTTTGGTGGCCCTGCGGGTGACCCGTGTCCCCCTCCCCAGGTGAGAAGCCCTACAAGTGCACGTGGGAGGGCTGCGACTGGCGCTTCGCCCGCTCGGACGAGCTGACCCGGCACTACCGCAAGCACACGGGGGCCAAGCCCTTCAAGTGCGTGGCCTGTGGCCGCTGCTTCTCCCGCTCCGACCACCTGGCCCTGCACATGAAGAGGCACCAGAACTAGGAGCTTCTCCCACAGCAGCTGAAACTCTTCCCCCTTCCCCCGGGGGGGTCCTTCTCCTCTTCTCCTACCCAGGAACAAACCCCACGCTGCGATCAACCGGGCAGGGAAGGCCCCTCTGCACGTCCTGTCCCCAGCACGCCCTGGTTTTCAATGAAATCTTATTAAAAAAGGAAACAAAAGTTAAAAAAAAAAAAAAAGACAAGTTCTAATTACAGCTTGATCTGGTGACGAGGCTCCCGGCAGCCCTGGGGAGATGGACCTTGGATTCCAAAGGGCTTCCAGCCAACCTGCTATTTATTTGTCACTCAGGAGCAACTGGCCTCCGTGTCTCAAACTCTTTGGGGTTTTGGTACCTCTCCGAGGGCAGTGGCCCCAAGGAGGGTTGTGATGTGTTGGTGGCCTGGCCCTGGGTGAGAGGTCTCATGATGAGCTGTCAGTGCAATCCTCTTGGGCTGCCCCATGGCCTGGCTGTGGAGGGGGCACCTTGACCCATGGCTTGGCTGTGGAGGGGGCACCTTGACCCATGGCTTGGCTGTGGAGGGGGCACTTCTGAGGTGCAAGAACAGGAGCACATGCCTGCAGCTGTTTGTGTTGACAATCCCAGTCTCTGTGGGGGCGAAGAAGCACAGCATGCCAGCTTGGAAGGGACCTCAAGGATCAGCTGCTCCAGCCTTTCTAGGTAGGAACATGGTTTAGGTGAGAAGAAGATGGTTTAAATGAGCGAAGACGAAGAGAGCACAGATGAAGGGGG